TTTTGAGTATAAAACCAACTGTTAGAAAAAGTGATCCTTCTTTGTTAATACCTGAATGAAAGATCATTAGCACTGTAGTTTAACTATTTACGTATCCCATGATTAGTGAATAGGAAAGAAATTTTGAAAGGAAAAAAAATGATTTTCAAACCTACAACTTAATGTCCTTCCTATGCAGATCAAATATATATTTTCTATTTACCGTGAAAATTAATATCTAGAATATCAGTGTCATATTATTATTGGCCCCTAATTGTATCTTGTCATGCTTTTATTTGGTGGATTTTGCAACATTTTAGTCATTATTAGCAGCTCATATCTCTTAATGGAACTTAATGATTTAACCATGATTATATATCGTCAAAATAATCGAGCAACTTGACTCATGTTTTACATGGCATGCGTTTAATGATTTTTTCTTTTATTAGTGTTTGACAAGGTTAGTGTTTGGATCGCTTAAATACTTAGAAGATTTTTGTGAGAAATATTTTATTTTAAAGATTTTTTTTTTGAGCAAACAGGAAGTAAATATATTAAAGCTTAAGGAGCGTTCATTACATAGGAGTTGTAGTTAGTATCACATATGATACTATAATTACCTAGGCTTGCTAACAAGTTACAAGCATCATACGACAAATGTTTTTGAAAAATAGTCTTATCTAATACATCCGAATATAGTAGGGATAACACTTCTTCTGGTGGGGCAGCAAAAACTTTCTTCTTCTTCCTTGGATTATCAGATCCCATGTATGCAAGTTTTTGAGCTATCCTATTCCCTTGGCGGAACTCGTGTCTGAGGGTTACCTGCTTCTCTTGGTGCATTAACAACCTGCATTTTAATAAAATGTTAGTGAATAGATGGTGCCCTTGTTGTACACATTGAATCACCTCCGTGGAGTCTATTTCAATCTCCAGTGGAAACAAATCCCACTCATGAGCTGTTTTTAGTCCTTCCAGTAGGCCCTTTATTTCTGCATGAAGGGAGCCATAAGCATTGGCCCCTTTGGCATATCCTACGATCCAGTCTTCTTTGTCATTCCTAAAGACTCCACCTAGCCCACATTTTTGTTGTCTTTTGGAGAAGCCTGCATCAATGCTTAGTTTGTACCAACCAATTGGAGGTTTATGCCATTTAACCTTAATAAGTAGTTTAGGAGCATGGATGATATTGGTAGCCGTTAGGAGATTGAATTCCATAGCTTTGCTAGTTATGTGGTTGAGGTTTATGGAAGAATTGGTATTGTTATGATTGTTATTGTTTCTGTATATCCATATGTGCCAGATTGCAAAGGGGAGGAAGAGGTTCCAACTTATCAAGGGATTAGTGAAGTTTATGTTGAGATTTTTTAATTGCAAAAGCCAGTGTTCACCATTATTATTAAAGGAGTTATTCCAACCAAATGCATTCCAAAGATGGTTTATTGCTTGGCATTCTAGAAAGATATGGGAGATAGATTCCTCTACTTGATTTCTACAAACAGGGCAATGAGGGTTTATATTGAGGCCAATTTTTGCTATGTATTGTCTACAAGGAATTCTGTTATGGAGGCATTGCCATAGGAGAAATTTCATTTTATTAGGGCATGGAAGGCTCCAAATCCATTGGAAGTCTAAATTATTCTCAATATTATTATGCAAAAGAGTGTAACAAGAGTTTGTTGTGAAGATGCCTTTGGTATTGAGAGACCAGGTAGGGGTGTCCCTAACGGGAGCCTTACTACGAATTTTAGTTGTGACAATTTTTTCCTTAATGAAAACGGGTAGGTTTAACGATATTCTATCAAGGTGCCAGTCTTTGCCATCAAAAATATTTAATATAGTAAGGTTAAGATCATTTCTGGAAAGGGGCCTTCTATTGATTTTCTAAGTTTACCTAGTTTGGGGATCCAATTGGATTCCCAAATGATTATTTTGGAATGATGATGCAATTGCCAAGTAATACCCTTGGAGCATACTTCCCACCCTTTTAGCAAGCCTTTTCATATAAAAGATTTTTTCTTGGCATACCTTTGGTTTGCATAAGAATTAATTATTAGGTTAGCCCAAGGTGTAGTAGTGTTGGTAAGACCCCTGCAAGCTAAATTTGCTAAGGAACACACATTTTTATCTATGGCTTTGTGAAGACCCAAACCTCCTTTATCTCTTGGTTTTCATAGTGTAGACCAATTAATATAGTGGAGTTCACGTTTTTCACTAGTGATACCCCATATAAAGTCTCTTTGGACCTTATCAATTTTTTTGAGAATAGATATAGGTAATAGAGTATATTGCATGTAGTGATTTGGGATGGTATTTAAACAGGAACGAGAGAGGGTAGTCCTTCCAGCCATGTTTAGGAATTTGGCTTTCCAGGAGGCAAGCTTTGCTCTTATTTTATCTATTATGAATTGGTAGTCCTTAGGGGTAGGGTGTTTATTTAGGATGGGAAATCCCAGGTATGTCCCAAAGGAGTCAGTTCTATTTATAGCTAGTATGTTGATAATATCCTTTGTAAGAGGCAGATGACAATTAGTAGAGAAGATGAATTTAGATTCTTTTGAATTTATGGATTGTCCTGATAGAGTACAAAATAGATCTAGCCCTTTTTTTATGGTACTGCTTGATTTAAGGTTGGCTTTAGCCATGAGGGTTAGATCATCTGCAAAAAATAGGTGAGAAAAGGAAGGGATTTTTTTTTCCTAAAGTAATAGGGTCCCAATTTCTAATATCCACCTGGTGATTTATGAGTCTTGAGAGCATTTCAAGACATAAAATGAAGATATATGGAGGAATAGGGTCTCCTTGTCTGATTCCCCGGGTAGGTTGAAAGTTCTTGGTGGTAGAACAATTTACCAAATTGGAAATTGAGCTTGTAGAGATACAACTTAACAGGAGTTTCTTAAATTTAGGAGGGAAATTAAAGTAATTTAGGGTATGGTGCACAAAAGACCATTCTAATCGATCGAAGGCTTTTTCAAGGTCAATTTTAAGAATCATGTGAGATTGATTGCCTTTTTGCTTATGGATTTTAGAAATAAGCTCTTGAATGATTATGGCATTGTCTGAAGCTCTCCTATTCTTGATAAAACTGGCTTGGTAAGGGCAAATAAGGTGGTCAAAGTAGGGCTTAAGTCTATTGACAAGAATTTTGGTAATGACCTTATAGGCCGTATTGTATAGACCAATTTGCCTAAAGTTGTTTAGGTGATTTGCAATAGGGATTTTTGGGATGAGGCACATATAGGTCTTGTTAAGATCATTGGGGATAATTTGAGATTCAAAGATGTCATGGCACATTTTTATTAAAGAGTTACCTACTAAGCCCCAATATCTTTGGAAAAAGAAGGGGGGTAGACCATCTGGTCCAGGTGCCTTAAAAGGCTTGAAAAAGTAAATAGCTTGCTTTACTTCGATATCTAGAATGGGTTTATCAAGGTTTTGCAAGTTTATAACATGCTGAGTGACATTAGTTAAGGGGCTCATTCTACTAGACTTAACATGAGAAGTTGTGAAAATGTTGGAGAAGTAGTTGCAAACATGGGTTGTTACTAGATTAGGGTCGTTTATCCAATTTTCCTCATTATCTTTGAAAAAGTTAATTTTATTCTTTCTTTCCTATTTGTAGCCATTATGTGATAAAACTTAGTGTTGGAATCACCTTCATTCAACCAATTAATTCTTGACCCTAATTTCCAATAGTCTTCCTCTATGAGTAATAAATCATTAAAATCTTTTTTGAGTCTCAAATGTAGATCTTGTAAAAAAGTAGTATAAGGGTAGTGGATGGAGTTTTCTATTCCTTGAATCCTGGCTAAAATTTTCCTTTTTGTTCCCATGATATCACCAAAAGTAAGATGTTTCCATTGTATGACTTTATCTTTAAAGGAGGTACTATTCTTAATAAAGTCATTAGTACTCCAGTTATTTTTAACTAGAAAATTGAAGGACGGGTGCTTGCACCAATATGTTTCCAGTTGAAAAGGAGGTTTATAAAGGGTATTGCTTTTGGGGATTAATTCAACTAGAATGGGGTTATGATCCGAATGTGTTCTAGGTAGGTGAATAATGGAGCTTTTTGGAAATAAATTAATCCAATCCTCATTCCCAAATACCTTGTCCAATCGTTCCATTATCAAACCTCTATTTTTGTGTCTAAGATTTGACCAAGTATATTTAGAACCTTTGTACCCTAGATCAATTAGATTACAATGGTTAATCTTCGGCAAAAGGAATTTAGCTCTACTATCTCTAATATGATTACCACCAAATTTTTCATTTGAACTAAGGATATCTGATCATTAAAGTCACCTCCTAAAAGCCAAGGTCCCTTAAAGCTATCACTAAGACATTGAATATTTTCCCACATTTTGTTACGACATAAAACATTAGTGCTAGCATAAATAATACTAAGAAGCCATTTTTGGCGGATAGGGTTTACCTCAATAGTAGCATGAATTTCTTGATCTCTACATACAAGATTTTGCACAGTGACCACTCGTGATTGTATAGCACAACAATTCCTCCAGCTTGTCCCTCCGCTGGGACTTCCACGAACTCAGTAAAACCATAATAATCCAAAAGCTCGAAATGGTTACCCATCCTAGTGTCTAACAAAGCTACCAAGCAAGGCCTGTGAGTGTCCACCATGTCCCTAAAGTTTCTTCTAAAGGTGTCATTATTTCCTCCTCTAATGTTCCAAATAATGATATTGGTTGGCCTATTCATGGATAAGTTGAGGTTTTAGTTGGCTGGATTCCCATTTTCCCTTACCTCTCCCATCATAGGATTCCTCCGAAGAGACGGGACAAGGATCATAGCTCGATTTCCTACGATTGGGACTTGAGGAGGTCGTATGTCCATCGAGCATTTGTAAAATGCCAATGGGCAACTGAGAACATGCCTCTTCTCTTGCCCCTCCGAAAAGAGAAACACTTTTACCCCGTCTAGTCTTGAGATTTCTAGCCTCGTTCTAAGAGGAAGTTCAGTGGCTCTTCCTCTTCTCCCATTGCTTCCTCCACTGGTTATTGAATATTTTCTGGATGTTGTGGTTGGGATGGGGGTGGTGGTGGAGTTGGAGGTTCTTGGGGTTGCTGTGGCTGCTCCCATGGTAAGAGTATGGGTTTTAGTTCGGAGATGTTCTCCGGCATGAAGAAAGGCATATCCATTAGGCATTCTGTGGGTATATTGGATTGAAATGGGGAGGGAGGTTTCATTGGTTCCTCGTTGCACGGATCAACTGTGGGTTCACTGACGGGGCTAGGGGTTGAAGTATATTGTTCAGCCAAGCTTGGTTCAAGTAGTTGTTCATAGCCAACCTCCTGCCCTCCGTCACTAGTTGGGCTAGATATTGAGTCTCGTGTAGTATTATCACTGTGTCTTGCCAATTCACTTGGATGTTGAACGAGCATGCATGGCCCATGAGGCCCATCTCCATCCATGACACAGGTTGGTAATTTTGAGCTTGGGGTGGTTGGACATATATGATCTGGGGATTGACTGGTTGAGGGTTGGGTAGTGGCAGATTTTCCATTGTTAATCTTGTTTGTTGAAGAATTTGGAGAAGCCTTTGTCTTCTCCGGCTGGCTGAAGCAATGGTTGGCATCTTGAGTATCCACACTATTAATTAGGTCTAGGGCAGGCGTGGGGGGGGGGGGGGGACTCTTGGATGATTGTTGGGGATTGGTTAGGGGGGTAATGATTGGAAAGAGCTTTTGTAGGTTTTGTGCTTCCCCAAGGGGAGTGTTTATAGGGTGGATTTCCAACTCTTTTGCATGTGGGGGTTCCATGGACATTTGGCAAGAAGTTTCTAAATCAATGGCCATTTGGCCAACATGCTTTGGGAGGTGATGGAAGTCGGATCTAGGCAATGGATTTTGCTTGGGGGAATGGTTAACAAATGTTTGATTACTTTTGTCTCCTCTAGGGAGGGTATAGTTAGTAGTTGTACCTTGTTTCATAGTAGGGGTAGAAATATCTTTTCCTGAGTTTTTTTGCATGGCCAACTTTGCCAAATGTTGCGTAGGATTAGTGTTGCCTGCCACGTTTCTTTGTTCTATGGCAGAGTTAGTAGCTAATTTAGACAATTGTTCATTACAGAGATTTTTAGTAATAGAGGAAGCTTGATTATTATTAAGAGCATAGGTGGTTTCATTCAAAACCAATGGCTGGTCACTAGGTAATTTCTTAATAGGATAATTATTAGTGTTAATAGAGGTCTATTTATTGGTTTCATTAGTGGTTTCATCCAAAACCATTCGCTCGTCGTCTAGAATAGAATAGTGGTTTTCCATTGCCAAATTTGGTTGGTCTCTAAGTACAGAAGGAGGAAAATGCATAGACTGATTAACATTTTTAGATTTGTATTGAAGAAATTTAGTATTCAAATACTTACCCATGGTAGCATTGAAAAGCTTAACAGGAATACCTGGGCCAGTGTTGTGTTTATCCGGGATGGGGTATCTTGGGGTGGCTTTCATAGCATTTTGTTTCTTTTTTAAAAAAGAAACTGTTGTCCAGACTTCTTGATCACCTTCCTTTGAGGATGGAGGGTCCTTGCACGAGGCTTCATTTGGAATGTCCTTATTAAGTTGAAGAACAAATGGGCATTTTTGTGCTATATGTCCTAGTCTGCCGCATATTGTACATAGGAAGTTCTCCCCTTCATAGTGGATTGTTTGTTTATGATGTCAAACATAGATGGAAGATTGGACTGGCATGTCAAGAGATACTTCCACACATAATCTTCCATAGCGACCACAGAGAGTTGTTGATGTACATACGTCTACTTTTAGTAGCCGACCATTTGCATTACAAATTTTTTCCAAAATTTTTGCATCATAAAATTCAGTGGGTAACCGAGAAAGTCTAATCCAAACAGTTGATTTGGTGACCCTCTCCTTAGTTGCAACAAAATTTGGTTTCCAATGGATAACGGAGAGGAAGTGTCCATTTATAAACCAAGGTCCTTGTTGCGTAGATTTTTTCCAGGTTCTCCTGATTTTTGAATCTTATGATGTAGTAGTCCATACCTAAGTCAATTAGTAGGAAATCCTCAGATGGCTTCCAAAGTTCCTGAATATTTTTCTTTAGATAGTGATGTAGCATACGTTTTCCCACCAATTTGATGATGATAGCGTGCTTCCATGGCTCATAGATGCGTGCTTTATCCTCAGGGGAAAGAGAGATACATTTAATACCTTCTAAGATTGTCAAGAGGGATTGAGTATTTGATTGATCATCTTGATCCATGAATATGCAGCTTTTGTCATGATCATTTCCTAGGTTTGCAAACAACATCGGATCTTGAGTGATGAGCATGTCTTTGAAGCTAGGTTTGGTGAACTTTGGATCAATATCTGGGGGTTTTGGGGGGATTAAATTGTCTTGTTGTTGATCATAGGTTTGGGGTTCCATCAACAAGGGAGACTTAATTGCTCAAAGTCAACCTTTATTTTAAAGATCAAGTTAATGTTATAGTCACATATACCATTGATACAGGATACTCACTAATATTTAATTTTATTACGTCTTTCAAATTTTCTTATATTATGAAATTATTCAGTTCCATCGATTTACTGTGGAAAAGAAATAGTGAAATTAATGATTTTCAATAGATTCATGTTTTGTGTGAACTTCAATAGATTAATGTTTATTGAAAAACTTAAAAAAATTTATAATTTGGTAGAAAATATATTGTTTACTTTGAGTATATTAATTTGATGATAGATCATTTTGTCATGGGAGATTTTACCAGTAATAGAGTTACTACTTGGCTTGGGTTAATCATCTGTTTACAATTTTTGGTGTTTGTCTGGAACAAAATTTCTAGTTTAGATGTTTATTTGAGACAAATTTTTTATTCAAAACTTTTATTCTTTTATTACATATATATTTAATACTGCATCTAAAGTAACTTTGATTTGAGTTGAGGTACAACTCTAGTGTGACAGATAAGTGAATTAACAGCTTCACTCTTGTCTCCCTACATTCATTCTCAGTGCATTTATTTTGTTTCCTTAGGTCACCTGCGACGTATATATAGCTCATATTTGACTAAAAGAACTATAAAAGAAAGACAAAAAACAGACAAAGTATAAAGGGAAACATAAAGAAGATAAAAATTAGATGGCAGCGGATTCAAACCTTTTAACCTGAATTATAAAAGGGGAACAAATCATGTAATGGCCCGGCCGATCGTTTTAAGAATTAATGCCCCGATTCCCTATTAACTGCATTTTTCGTGTTTGTTTCTACTATTGTAAGTTGTCAGGAGGGTTCATTTTCGATTTCGGAGTGTTTTGGGATACTTAGTCCCTAAATGAGAGTTTAAGCTTTAGAATTTGGACCGTAATTGGAGCAGTGTGAAGATGGCCTCAAAATGAAATTTTGTTGGTTCCTTTTGCTCAGTTGGGTGATTTCAGGCTTAGGGCGTGTTTGGATTGTGTTTTGGAGGTCCGTAGCTTACTTAGGCTTGAAATGCCGAAAAGTCGAATTATTGAAGTTTTCGGTTCGATAGTGACATTTTGATATCGGGGTCGGAATGAAATTCCGGAAGTTGGCATGTTTTGTTGAGGTCCCCGGGGGCCTCGGACAAGTTTTGGGTGCTTAACGGAAGAAGAATTGGACTTGGGAGAAATCTGAAGGTTGCTGAAGTTCTGTCATAACTGCACCTGCAGTTAGGGACCGTAGGTGCATGATCGCAAAAGCGATTGAGGAGCCGCAGATGCGGCTATGTGCTTGGAAGCCAGATTCGCAGGTGCGGTAGTTTGAGCTCACCTGCGAGACCGCAGGTGCGGTAGAAGAAGCGCAGGTGCAGCCTAGTGAAATTAATGAAATCTCGCAGGTGCGCACCTGGGACCGCAGGTGCAAGGAAATGTCCGCAGGTGCGGAAATCCTGGGCCAGAACCTATATAAAGGTTCAGTCGTGATTTTTCCCATTTTCTTCACCATTTTCATCCGGATTTTTGAGCGTTTGGGAGGTTTTTAGAGTAGATTCAAGAGAGCTTTAGACAAAAGAATTTTGGAACTCAAACTCTTTATTATTGTATTTTATACTGATTTGGGCAAGGAATATATGGGAAATAAAGGTTAAATTTTGGGGTTTAGGGTTTGAAATTGGAGACTTGGAATTGGGGATTTGAGGGGTTGTTTGTGGTCCGATTTTTGTGTTTTTGGTATGTACGAACTCGCGAGAGTGATAATTTCGAATTTATAAATTTTACCCGATTTCGAGTCATGGACCCGGGGGACTTTTTACGAAATTTTCCAAATTTGACGTATTAGCTTCAAATCAATAAGTGGAATTAGTTACTTGAAGATATATTTGCATTATGCAATTACTTTCAATAGATTTGGGCCATTTGGAGTCGGGTACACGTGGCAAGAACGTGATATCAAGTTGATTGAGTTAGTTCGAGGTAAGTGACTTGCCTAACCTTGTGTGGGGGAACTCCCCTTAGGATTTGGTATTGTTGATATATGAAATACCTTGTACGTGAGGTGACGCGTGTGTACATATGCTAATTGTTGAAAATCCTATTTTCATTAAGTAACCATGATTGTGTTTTTCTTCCTTGTTGTACATTACTAGAAATTTAAGCCTATTGTTAGTTTAGGGAAGCATGTCTAAGTGACTTAACTGTTTAACTTGCTCAAACTACCTTATTTGAATTTAGTGCAGCATGCTAGGTTAGAAATACTTATTTTTCCTTTGTGTGGAATTGGATAGAGTTTAATATTCTTCGTGATGTTGCTGTGTGTTTACTTTTGGACTACGGGCGATATCCCTATAGATCCCCCTTGCCTGCTTATTTGGGACTACAGATTGGTATTCCGGTAGATCCCCCTGCATATTTATATTGGAACTACGGGACTGCACCCGGTAGATTCCCCCGGTACTGGATATTTACATTTGGGACTACGGTGTTGGCCCAAGAACAGGTAAAGTTTTGAAGACTGACAAAAGAACTCAGACATGGACCGGGTCCATCTTGTGAAGCGCGGTCGTGGTCAACTTGTACATATGAGATGCACGTGAAGGAGATAAATCTAACTTATCAAGAAGTAATATCTCCTGATCTGATCAAAAAGGTTGCATATTGGATAAGTAGAGAAAGACTCCATAGCTGAAGAGAACACAATCTAGGAAGAAGACAGTGTTAGAGTTTGAGATCATCTTAAACTCTTCTACGATACAAGAGTATCATTTGAATCCCAGTCAATCTCTAATTACTAACCCATTAAATATCAGTGTTGTTCTCTTTTACAGGTAATACACACAAGCAGAAGTTAAACTTAAATTGAGAGAAAAAGAGCAAGGTGATTTTGCAAGCAATTTATGTGATTCGAGTGTGCAATTCTAAAGCTACTTGAACGAGATAGAAGAACTAGTTCCAAGTGTCTATCTTTTATTCTAGTTCAATTGTAGTAGGTGATTTTA